ACTATTGTGTATGAAGGAAAATAGATGGGTAGCTGACCACTCCTTTAAAGTTCGTCTAGTGTAGAAATAGGATAGGAATCTGCTGCGCTGAAACACACACCGCTGCCCGCCAGCACAAAGGGGGAACTGGCTGAAGTATGTTTAGCTTGCTTAAAACTTTGTTAATCAAGTGTAAAAAAAAATTATTGCTTTGGGGTGAAGAAAAATGTTTAACTACTTGTGGGATTCTAAGAAAAACACATAATTTGTGATCATAATGTGATTTCTTCCTGTATAAAGATTTTAATTTGTTTTTGGAAAATATGTAACTTGTGGTTGTAAGGTAATCTTTTCTTGCATAGAAATTTTTGTCTTGAGAGGTATAAAAGGGATAAGAGAAAAATAAGAGATGTAGAAAGAAGACATCAGAGAAGATGTAGAAGGAAAACACCAGGAGAGACGTAGAAGAAAATATCAGGAAAGATACAAAAGGAGAACAACTGGGAAGAAGAAGGAAACATCTGGGTAGAAAAACAGAACAAACAAACAAACAAACAAACAAACAACAACCAGAGTAGTAACAAGCAACAGAAAGAGAAAAGTAAAATGAAGAATTAAGCTTTGGCCCTCAGAAGTTTCCTGAGTGTGTATGCAGCTGCACAGACTCCATGCCTACTCTTCAGCACCTGACATGCTGAGGGTGGGTCCCTTGGCAGCAAAGTGTCTTACTGTTTTATTGCTGTAATGAAATGCCATGACCAAGGTAACTTATGAAAGGAAGCATCTAGTTGGGACATAGCTTCCAGTTTCAGAGAGTGAGTCCATGATCATCATGATTCAGAGCATGACAACAGGCAGGCACAACAGCGGAGCAGCAGCTGAGAGCTTACATCCTGATCCACAGGCAGCAGGCACAGAGAGTGAGACTGGATCCCTGGTGGGCTTTTGAAACCTCAAAGCCCACCTCCAGTAACACACCTCCTCCAACAAGGTCACACTTCCTAATCCTTCCTAAACAGTACAGCACCTGGGGGACCAGGTATTTAAAGATATGAGCCTCTGTGGGCCCTTCTTATTCAAACCACCACATGAAATTATGAAGTGAACAGCTAGTTCGTCGCAAGACATCACAGTCAGGAAATGAATGCTGCTGCTCTGTTCATCTTTACTGTCTTATTTAGTCCAGAACCGCAGCCCATGGAATACTAAGTATTTGAATTCAGGGCAGGTGTTCTTTGCTAAGTAAAACCTTTCTGAAAACACCTTCATAGACACATCCCAAGGTGTGTTTCTATGGTGATTCTAAATTCTATCAAGCTGACAACGAAAATTATTATAATTCTAAAGCTTGTTAAGTTGACACTTAAACACATCACTTGAAATAATTCCATCTCTGTTCCCAAACACACACACACACACACACACACACACACACACACACACACACACACACATTTTACTTAGCAGGAAAGGAAAACAAATCATTTTCAGGAAAATGGATGGACCTGGAAATTATTATATTAAGAAAATAAGCTCAACTCAGTAAGACAAATGCCACATTTTGAGTTAAACAAAAATGAAAACAATTTTGTACCAGAACATGTAATGTAAGTGCCTACATTAAAAACAAACAAACAAACAAACAAAAAACCAAAGAGATTTCAAATAAACAACCTAAAGTTTTCTAGAACTGAAGAGCTTCAGTCAGTCCTTGTTTTACAATTCATTGCAAGACAATGGAAAGTTTGCATAAATCCTTCGACCCTTACTTCCTTATTGTAACACGAGGGATGATTTTAGTATTTCTTTTATTAGGTTTTCCTGAGAATTAAATGTCTGAATGCATGTTAGGAACTCAGCACAATAACTAATACACAAGAAGCCTGAAGAGAACGATATTTGTATTGTATTTTCTGCTTAGAAAATAATAAGGAATGATTAATGTGTGACAGTACAATGAAGCACACAGGAACAAGAATGAAAACACAATAAAAATGGACAAAATGCATAATTTTTATCTGTTCTTAGAATCCTTCCATAAATTGCTGATCAGACATATCTATCCCTTGTATTAACATACTGATTTTTTAAAAATATGAGCTATAGCAAAAAGCGAGAGACACATTGTAAAAACAAACGTGTCCCTCCACAAGTAAGCTCTGGCATCTCAAAATCAGAGTAAATAATTTAGTCTTGTTATCAACAGTGAAGATTCAGTTTAGCAGAAACAAAAGCAAATTGCTTTCTTTATTTCTCACTGATATCATAGAAATAAATGAGTAGAATATAAAAGGATACATGTGGAGGACTGTACTGTCAGTGTGAGATGAACAACTGATTAATTTTTATCTACAACTTTTTGCACTTTAAATTCCAGGGTATTTTCTGGGGATTCTTCAGGAACAGATAGTGAAGTCCCACCTCTATCAGAGGAAATGAAGGGAAGTTTGGTTAAGAAAACTTACTAGGCCATGGAGACTTGGGTTGTCCATTGTTCTCAATTAAGGATTATTCATAATTAGACAATAGGAAACACAACAGAAAAATAGTGATTTCATAAGGCAGCTCCTTGATTACTCTTAGAATAATTCTCAGCATCAGGGGACAGGCTCTCTCAGGACTTTTATTTTTAGAGTCTTAAGATTTTTAGAGCCAGCATATTTTTCAGAAGGTGAGGAAGAATTTTCAGAAGACAAATGATTTATTTTTTGACTCAGTGCAAATGCTTATCCTTGAGGACTGAGCCCATTTATCTAACATGAGCTATTGCCTCATATATTTTCTATTATTTACAATCATGGAAAGTGGAGCCTTTTACCTGTGCAGTTAGGTAAGAAAGCGTAACCATGGGCAGGATGGGAAGTTTCCCGTAACTTTCCATGTTGTGATCTGTCTCTTGCTGGTATTAGAAAAAGCTGTTTAAGGTTTAGAGCTAGTTTCCCATTTTATGATGGACAGACTCCCTGTTGTGGGTCATGAAAGTACATCCTTTCCCACATTTTTGCCATGATGTCCCATTCTCAATTCAATGTGCCTGATTATTTAGGCATCATCCAAGGCAAATCCATAATCTCTAAATATTGAAACTGTAGTGAAAGAAATCATGTCACAGAGAGAAGTGAGACAATCAGTGTTCTCTAAAACTCAGGAAAAAGTTGGTCTCTTGTTTGGTTTATTGTTTCTTGTTTTTTTTCCCAATATATTTTTGATGCAATTCTATTTTATGGGTCAGAAAAACTAAAATGATGGTTAGTGTTTAGAAGATTGTTTGCATTTTAAAAAGGTAGCAGTAAGGATTTTAAATATACTATACCTAGTTATCAAAAGAAAGTTACTCTGATTGTTGGATGGAGGCCTTTTGTGGAGGTAGAGTAGAGGTTAGTTCTAAAAACTCATCTCCAGAATAATGCTAAAAGTGCCTAGAAGTTTCCCTAGTTCATTTCCCTTTCAATCCGGTCACTTCAAATTCACTTCTTCTCAGAACTCCAATCATTTCATCTTTCAGGAAGTGACTTGTGTCGGTCAGTCTCTTCATATTTCCTCCCAGTTTTTTTTTTAAGATTTATTCATTATGTATAGTGTTCTGTACTGCATACATGCCTGCAATCTAGAAGAGGGCATCAGATCTCATTACAGATGGTTGTGAACCACCATGTGGTTGCTGGGAATTGAACTCAGGACCTCTGGAAGAGCAGCCAGTAATCTTAACCTCTGAGCCATCTCTCCAGCCCCTCCTTTCAGTTCTTACTCTCCACTCATACATCTCACCTCTTAAAGTTTCCCACATATCTAGCTTGTCTTTCCTAAGATATGCAGATGCTACCCATGGCATCTATTTAAAGAAAAGAAGCAGAGAGGAAGCTGGTTCACCAATTCTATCTGCTGTTGTCAGAACAGCTGAAGGTAATGCTGGAACCTTAATAAAATATTCAAAAGAATATTTTTGTGGCAGCAATCAGTACAGATTTAGTTTTAAGTCATGTCTCATAATGAACTACTCATTTATAATTCCTAGAGGTTAAATCATTCACTGAATAAAATATTTTTAGGTCAATTCAACAAAAAATGAAGTTGAATATATTTCCTTACTAGAAGGCAGAGTTTCTTATTATGGAAAGTAAGATGAGATAAGGAAAACACATTTTGTAATCGAGAAGAGCCAGCGACTTTGAAGAGAGTTGGTATGAAGCAGACAGACAGACTGCTATAGCACGATACAACATAGAGGCCAGGGACCTACTAGAGGAACTGTAATGAAGGTGAGTTCATCTTGGAATATACCTTCATAGTTGAGAGGTGAGTTTATTTGGTTAAATAAAATTATTTAAAATATGCCATAAGACAAAAGTAGGATTTCTGGAGACCAAAGGCATAGATACTTAAAAAGAAATAATGGTGAAATAATGAAGAAACTTGAGCTCACAGAAAGCAGGAGTTTTGTATTTAAGGACCTTAGAGAAGAAAGTCAGACCACAAGTAAACAGCATATGCAGAGCAACATTTCTCATTAAAGATGTCATTCGATTTCCTGCTTGAGGAAATGTTCAGGCTCAAAGTATAGTAAGACAATAAGTCCATCATCTACTATAGCAATAAGATTTTCAAAATACCTCAAATTGACACAGACTATGTGGTTTTGATCTCCCCTCCCACTTTCCATCAAATAGGGCTCCTTGACTTTACTGGGTATGTGGGCCAGGAAGAGATGAATAAAACAGTATCTTCACATTAATAATCTAAGGACACAAGACTACTGCTATTTTAGAGCTTTTCTACTTTTTCAGTAGAAAATTATTTTATTATTGACTCTTATTCTTAAAAATTTTCAAGAAGTATCTCAATAGATAAAGAAGAATGATATAGTAGAATATTAAAAAAGCAGCATATCGCAGAGCTGACTTACAGATGATAGTTTTATTAGAATACAGATGCTCATAACCAGAGAAGAGCATGTGTGGACAACATGCTGCAAACCTCTCAGAGAATAAAAGTGTTAATGATGAATCTAAAATTTAAAAATAGTTAAATCACAAACCGAGGCTGTTCAAGAGCCAAACATTCTAATATTACACAGGATCTGAGGCTGGCTTATGCAAAACAACCATTCTTCTTCCTCCTCCTCCTCCTCTTCTTCATTTTATCAAGAAAATTCTAATCTTGAAAAATTGATTGGTCTTGTTCCAGGCTGTGTTCCACAAACTATGTCATCTTTTCTTTTAGGTGATGCCGAATCAAACCTCTGTCTCTGAATTTTTCCTCCTGGGAGTGACAGACATACAGGAACCACAACCCTTTCTCTTTGCTGTCTTCATCACCATCTACTTTGTCAATATAACTGGGAATGGAGCCATCCTGATGATCATCATTTCGGATCCAAGACTCCACTCACCTATGTATTTCTTCCTGGGAAATCTAGCATGTCTAGATATCTGCTACTCCACCGTGACAGTGCCGAAGATGTTGGAGAACTTCCTCTCCACAAGCAAAGCAATTTCCTTTCTGGGATGCATAACTCAGCTTCATTTCTTCCACTTTCTGGGCACCACAGAGTCCCTGCTGCTGGCAGTGATGGCATTTGATCGCTTTGTGGCAATCTGTAAACCACTTCACTATTCGGTCATCATGAAAAACCAGCTCTGTATCCTAATGGCTGTCATCATCTGGACCATTGCTTTTCTCCATGCTCTGCTTCACTCTGTAATGACATCTCATTTGAGTTTCTGTGGTTCGAATCATATCCATCATTTCTTCTGTGATGTTAAGCCATTGCTGGAATTGGCCTGTGGAGACACCAAGCTCAACCTTTGGCTGCTCAACACTGTAACAGGCACCATTGCCTCAGTCCCCTTTTTTCTGACGTTTCTCTCCTATTTCTATATTATCACATATCTTTTCCTCAAAACCCGTTCTTGCAGCATGCTTCACAAAGCACTGTCCACTTGTGCTTCTCACTTCATGGTTGTTATTCTTTTCTATGCTCCTGTTATCTTCACCTACATCCGTCCCTCCTCAGGCAGCTCTCTGGATCAGGACCGGGTCATTGCCATCATGTACAGTGTAGTCACTCCTGCTCTCAATCCACTCATCTACACCTTGAGAAACAAGGAAGTGAGGGGTGCATTGAATAGGAAGATGAGAAGATGGCTCCAACTTGAAGAGATCTAAAGAACTCTTCTGAGGCATAAATAACCAGGCAATGAGAAATTAAGATATATTCTTATGTATAATAGATGGACACATATATAACTGAACAAGTTGAGTAATGGAAAATATATGGGAAAATATGATCTAGTGGTATTAAACTATTAAAGCAAGGGAAACTTGAACTTGTGGAACTCTAATCATAGAATCTGGTTCCTAAATTTGCTTTTGGCATATTTGTCGGTAACTTTGACTTGTGACATACTCTAATGTGACTGGTTATAGAAATATGTGTATACTACCTGTGTTTAGGATAAATTATTAGTACTTATGACTATTTATCTGTCAACACATATTAGTTTGATGATTATCATTATGTTTTCTTATTTTGAGGAATTATTGAAACTATGGTTACTCAGCTGGAAAAGTTAGTTGCAAATCACAAATGAGCTACAGAAAAATTTCAGAGGCAAAACATTTCTTTTAATCCTGATCCTGATTCTGTTAATATTAGAAGTTTTAGGGTCGGTGGGTAAGGTTTTATTTTTAAAATTTTATTATTTATTATTGTTTTTGAGGCAACTTCTCCTGTAGCCTGGGCTGGCCTTGAATTCCTTATGTTCTTGCTTCTACCTCTCAATTGCTGGGCTTATAGGTGTGTACTACCACATCCTGCTTTATAAACAATTTGGACAATATATTTTACCAAGTCAACATATCAAATATATATATATGTATATGTATATATATGTATATATCATAAGGATGTTGAGATATTTTACATCTGACTGTTTAAACTCTTTAAGATCTGGGTGGTAACTTTTTCTCTTGTCCCAGCAACATTCTAAGCGTTGAGTAGCCTTAGCTACCAGGGTTTGAGTGATCGAATAAAGTCCAAGGTGAGAGTTCCTCATGTGGTTAGATATTTTTTCAAACCCATTTTTATGTATTAAGTATTTTTATTTAATATTCATACATGCATATGATGTGTTTGGATCTAATCCACCCCATTCCCTTTTCAGTTCCTCCTCTATATATCCTTTATGTTTCCCACCAAACTTTGTGTCTTTCTGGTAAGGAAGTAGATGTCTATAGAGAAACAGTGTTTACTAGGTATTAGACACTAGAATGCAGTTGCACAATGAACTCACAATGGCTGGGACTGCAGGCACAAGACTTGAACAAGATGAGGACAGACAAAATTCCATGAATTCCCACCCCTGTGTGAGGATATTGGGCAGTTGATAGCTACTAGGAGAGGGAGAGTCACTTTTCTTTAGGAATGTGGGCCCGGAGAAGATACCCATGCTCTAGTGTATGAGCCCACACCCATGCACATAAAGGCAGTATGAAATGGATTCAGTGTGTATTCAATTAGATTATTTTTCTGGAACCTTGTACCTTCCAGAGCCTTACCCCTCCAAACAAACAAAACAAAACAACTAAAGTTATTAAAAAGAAATTGATAAATTTTTATCATGGAAGGGATCTTTGTTTTTGTACAAAGGTAAGAAGCTCTCTCCCTCAGTTCCAGAAACTGGGCCACAAGGCTGCAGAAGCTACAGCTGAGTCAATGAGGTCCTTTGCTGACAACCTAGGGCAGATCTGATGGAGATGTCACCACTGTTAGGTTCTCACAGCCAGCAAACCTTTCCTGCTGAGCCAGAACTCCCCATGGCTGTAATGCAAAGATTGCAAGAGTTTCACAGAATCATTAAGTGAATGTCTGTTTTCCTACTCTCTTGTCATTTCAGTTTGGATCCAAGGAACAATGATCTCTTCTAAGAGGTGGCACCCTTGCTAGATTTTCCTTTTCAAATAAGTGCTGTTCATTCTTTAGTTTACAATCTTTTTTTAGGACTGGAGAGATGGTGCATTGGTTAAAAGTACTGGCTGCTCTTACAGCTGAATGTGATTCAATACCAAGTACCGCATGGTGGCTCACAACTATTTGTAACTCCAGTTCCAGGGCATTTGGATGCCCTCTTCTGGCCTCCTGGATGAGTGTGGTTCATAGACATACATGCAGACAACACCTCCCCCATTAAAACAACAACAATAAAATATTTTTGAAAATGCTTCAGATTTTGCTTTTTTTTTTTTTAAAAAAAAAAATCATAGGGCATGCTTTTTTTTTTTTGTTTAAGTTGCCCAGGTTGTGTGATTTTTTTTGTGTGTGTATGTGGATTTTTAAAAATTTATTTATTTATTCTTCTCTCATATATTATATCCCAACCATAGTTTCCCTCCCTCCTCTCCCCATTCCTCTACTCTGCTTTCCCCCAGATCCACCCCTCTTCTGTTTCCCTTCAGAAAAGGGCAAACCTCCCAGTGATATCAACCGAACATGGCATATCAACTTGCCATAAGACTAGGGGCCTCCCCTTATATTAAGGCTGGACTAGGAACCCAGCAGGAGGAAAAGGGTCCAATAGCATGTAAAGAGTCAGAGACAGCCCCTTCTTCCCCTATTAGGAGTTGCACAAGAAGACCAAGCTACACAACTATAACGTACATGCAGAGAGTCTAGGTCAGACCCATGCAGGCTCCCTGATTGTTGGTTCAGTCTCTGTTTGCTCCTATGAGCCCTAGTTAGCTGATTATGTGGGTTTTCTTGTGGTGTTCCTGAACCCTCTGGTTCTTACAATTCTTCCTCCCTCTCTTTTGTAGGATTTCTTGAGGTCTGCCTAATGTTTGGCTCTGGGTCTCTGCAACTGCCATCATCAGTTGCTGGATGAAGCCTCTCTAATGACAATTATGATCTAGGCTCTGGTCTATGGTCTATGAGTATAGCAGAGTGTCATTAGGAATCATTTCATTGACTTTTCCTTGCCAGCCATGTTTGGTTCTATCCTAGGTCTCTGGGCTACCCAGTCTATGGTTCCTGTCCCTTCAGGCAGTGTCAGGGGTGGGCTTCCTCTCATGGCATAGTTCTCAAGCTGAACCAGTTATTGGTTGGCCACTTTCACAGATTCTGCTCCACCTTTACCCCAACACATCCTGCAAACAGGACAAATTGTAGGTCAAAGGTTTTGTGGTTAGGTTGGTGTCCCAATTCCTCCACTGGAAGCTTTGCCTGATTGAAGAAGATTGCCAGTTCAAGTTCTGTATCCCCCTTTACTAGGAGTCCTAGCTAGCACTACCCTTCCAGGTGTCTTTCCAAGTAATCTCTCTTCATCCTTCCCCTACCTGATCCTTCCTGTTCCAGTTCCCACCTGCCCCTTGTCCACCCACAATATCTATTCTATTTCCCCTTCCAAGGGAGATCTATGTGTCCTTCCTACACTCCTCGTCTTTACTGGGTCTGTGGATTGTAGCTTATCATTTACTTAAGAGTTAATATTCATGTATAAGTGAATACATACCATACCAGAAAGTATTTCTTTCTGGGTCTGGGTTATTTCACTCAGGATGATTTTTTCTAGTTCCATTCATTTGCCTGCAAATGCTGTGGGATGTTCTGTATGGCAAATGTGTTGCTGATTAGTCAATAAATAAATCACTGATTGGCCATTGGCTAGGCAGGAAGTGTAGGCGGGACAAGGAGGAGAATAAAGCTGGGAAGTGGAAGGCTGAGTCAGAGAGACACTGCCAGCTGCCACAATGACAAACAGCATGTGAAGATGCCGGTAAGCCACGAGCCATGTGGCAAGGTATAGATTAATGGAAATGGATTAATTTAAGCTGTAAGAACAGTTAGCAAGAAGCCTGCCACGGCCATACAGTTTGTAACCAATATAAGTCTCTGTGTTTGCTTGGTCGGGTCTGAGCTGCTGTGGGACTGGCAGGTGATAGAGATTTGTCCTGACTGTGGGTCAGGCAGGAAAACTCTACCTACATGCAAATTTCATGATGTAAGTTTTTTCCCCAATAGCCAAGTAATACTCCATTGAGTAAATGTACCACATTTTCTTTATCTATTCTTTGGTTGAGGGACATCTAGGTTGTTTCCATTTTCTGGCTATTATGAATAAAACTGCAATGAACATGGTTGAGAAAGTGTCCTTGTGGTAGTATGGAGCATCCTTTGGGTATATACTCACGAGTGGTTTAGCTGAATCTTGAGGTAGATCCATTCCCAATTTTGTGAGGAACCACCATATTGATTTCCATAGTGGCTGTACAAGTTTTCACTCCCACCAGCAATGGAGAAGTGTTCCCCTTGCTCCACATCCTTACCAGCATGAGCTGTAACTTGCGTTTTGATCTTAGCCATTCTGACAGGTGTAAGATGGAATCTCAGATCTTTCCGATTTTCATTCCCTGATGGCCAAAAATGTTGAACATTTATTTGTTTCTCAGCCATTTGAGATTCCTCCATTGAGAATTATTTTTAGATCTGTATCCCATTTTTAAATTGGATTATTTCATTTGTTGATGTCTAGTTTATTTAGTTCTTTATATATTTGGATATTAGCCATCTGTTAGATGTGGAGTTGGTGAAAATCTTTTCCCATTCTGTAGGCTACAAATTTGAATGACAGTATCTTTTGCCTTACAGAAGCTTTTCAGTTTCATGAAGTCCCACTTATTAATTGTTGATCTTAGTACCTGAACTATTAGTATTCTGTTCAGAAAGTCTTCTCCTGTGCCAAGCATTCCAGGCTATTCCCACTTCCTTTTCTATCAGGTTCAGTATATCTGACTTTATGTTGAGGCCTTTAATACACTTGGACTTGAGTTTTATATAGAGTGATGATAAGTATGGATCTATTTGAATTTTTCTACACGCAGCCATTCAGTTTGGCCAGCACCATTTGGTAAAGATGCTGTCTTTTTTCCAGTGTGTATTTATGGATTCTTTATTAAAAATCAGCTGTCCATAGGCATGCAGATTTATGTTTGGGTCTTCAATTTGAGTCCATTGATCAATGTGTCTGTTTTTATGACAATACCATGCAGTTTTTATTCTACAGATTTATAGTATAACTTAATGTCAGGAATGGTGACACATCCGGCAGTTCTTTTATTGTTCAGGATTGTATTAGCTATCCTTGTTTTTCTGATTTTCCACATGAAATTGAGAATTATCCTTTCATGATACATGAAGAATTGTGTTGTAATTTTGATGGAAATTGCATTGAATCTATAGAGTTCTTTTGGTAGGAAGGCTAATTTTACTATGTTAATGCTACCCATCCATGAGCATGGGAGATCTTTCCATCTTCTCATATCTTCTTTAATGTTTGAAAAAGACTTGAAGATTTTTTTTTTTATTTTGCAATACAATTCAGTTCTACATATCAGCCACGGATTCCCTTGTTCTCCCCCCTCCCGTCCCCCTCACCTTCCCCCAACCCCCCCCCCCCCCCATTCCCATCTCCTCCAGGGCAAAGCCTTCCCCACAGACTGAGGTCAACCTGGTAGACTCAGTCCAGGTAGGTCTAGACTTGAAGATTTTAATTATACAAGACTTTCACTTGCTTGGTTAGAGTTACTCCAAGATATTTTATATTATTTGTGGCCACTGTGAAAGGTATTGTTTCCTTGATTTCTTTCTCAGCCTGTTTGTTGTTTGTATATAGGAGGGCTACTGATTTTTTTTGAGTTAATCTTGTATCTGACCACTTTGCTGAAGGGGTTTATCAGATGTAGGAGTTCCCCCGTAGAATTTTTGGGCTGGCTTATTTATACTATCATATCATCTGTGGATAGTGATATTTTGATTTCTTCCTTTCCAATTTGCATCCCCTTGATCTCCTTCAGTTATCTTATTGTTCTTGTTAAGACTTCAAGTACTATATTGAATAGATATGAAAAGAGTGGCCAGCCTTGTCTTGTTCCTGATTTAGTGGAT